CTTGACTAACTATCCTTACCCTAACAATATCTGACAATTTGAGAGAACCTTGAGCTCTAGGCATGTTGTAGCACAAGATAATTAGTGTACGTCCATTTTCATTTATATAGTGCTCTGTGAACACAAATTATTTAGCATAAATCAGTTAAATGACGAAACATTAGGCGTCTATTTACTTGTGACCACTCAGTGTATGTCTATTATAACCTATAAATACCAATAATTATCAGTTGTCTAACTTACCTAAGTTCGTCTCCCTCCTTACTGTACCATTCGTTATCATAAGCTTGCATCCATATTGGGTTAGACCTAGAATTTTTTTTAAAAGAAATAAGCTACTAAGAAAGCAACATACTTCACTGTCTTGTGATAATAACAGCTGCTTATTGTAATGTTAAGAACAACTCGTAAATCATTATCATTAATTGCTTACATTAATTGGGATCTTCAGAACGAAAAAATTCCTAAAAATACAAAAACGTTATTCACGTTAGTTTTTAGGCCTAAGATCCACCCTTATTATTACTAGGTTATAAAAATATCACTGACGTTAATATTTAGGTTTAATATCCACACTTGCATTATTTCAAATATACTTATATTAATTTTTCGGGTTGAAGAATTATTTATGCATCATTACCTAAAATTTAGGTTATGTAAATAAGTAAAAATGTTTTATTTCATTTTTTCACAGGAACTCAACAGGCAACCCCCACTAGACCAGAGGTTCCTAACACAAATCAACATTCTGTTGAAGGGTAATGCGAACATTTTTCTTATAAATTGTCATCAGTTATTTAAAAAAAAATAGAACGATTATATTTTTACCACTAGAGTATCCAACTTATATTTTTCATGAATATTGATATTAATTTATACATTTTTATTGTTTAAATCTCTAAACATTATTACTAACGTTATGTGCACTTCAAAAATTGTTTTGAAATTCACGACTTTAAAAAGGAGCTCAGGCTATTCGTGTAATCAGTGTACTGAAAATCAGGCTATTTTGACGACAAAAAATCACTATTTTCTAGCCAAATAAGGAGAGGAAATGTAAGCATTTCTAATGGTTTTGAAAACCTATGTGGTATTCAGTGTCATGTACTTGTTATATGAATAAAACTTAAAATGTCAGAAGGGCATCACGTGTGGTGACAACTCGTTTCTGTGGATCTGTTACAGTATTACCAAAAGAAAAACAAAATACAATTTCCACATAACTAGCGCAGTTCATATGAGAGTCTGGTATTCAAGTAGAAAAAAAAAGACAAAATCATCGTTGGTATTCAAGTATCGTGGATAAGCTTAATATTGGACAAAAGTCAAATAATCGTTGTTATGGTAAAGTTTTTAATACGAGACAAAGTAAAAGTAATCATGATACTCAAGTATTATGCTTAGCTTAATACTGGATTAAAGTTTAAATAATCACTTTTCGTTGGGAAATCAGATACTCAAATATTTTTTTTTAAAGTACTGATTACAACATCTCATTAAAACTGTATTATATTTGCCTGAAGAATTTGTATTCGTGAGATGAAACTAAATATACTACATTGAAAAGTTGCTAAATTGAGCCTCTGCTTGTTAACCTAGCTAATAGTTACTGTGGTGTACTGAGGACTTCGATTTGAAGATAAACGATTAAGGCATTTCAGGCTTTCCAGACTGCCAAAATGCTATTACAAAGAATTCGACTAAACATTACTAATTATCCCAGTTATTCTTCGTAGGTAGTATTCGTTAAGATGTGTTTACGTGTGATCACCTCAGAGCTCGACCCTAAAATTTGAGTGCTTTAAGCCTTGAATACTATCGTTGAGCACGGGGAAGCATTCGTTAAATGATAAGGCATTAAAGAAATGTTATAAAACAAAAAATGTAGGAAGTATAACTTTTAGCTTATTTTCTATGTTATTGACCATGTTTTAGTGTTAAAAATATAAATCCTTTCTCATGTTGAAAATATAAATCCTCTCCCACTCGCTGTATGTGTGAACACACTTTACGAAATATGTCTGTTCTAGCCTAGAAGCATTGGAGCCTGAACAATGTCGTTGCAAAGGCAGATATAAGTAGATTTGTTAATAAATTTGTTTGATCTTTATAAGAATTCGGGTGTACCTTATTTCTTTAGTTACTTGGTTCTCTATGGCCACGTGACATTTGATAGAAAATGTTTTTAGTTCCGTTTATTTTATGATGCCTTGATAAACCCAATTAAATATTCTTGTGGTTTCTAAAATTGTTTAGATATTTGCAGGTTTATGAACATAATAATCTCGTTTTTCAAGTGCAGAGATACGCGTGGGCAGCACTGTGAAAATCGTATAAAATAGTTTATAAAGTAATAGAAGAGAGAAAGAATTTTGTCAATATTTTGACGAAACATCTTTTGATTTGGGTTTCAACAATGATTGAAAGCGAAGCATAATAACGAAGGGTAGAGCCACGGCAACAATTGTAAACAATCTTTAACAGTTGAACGTTTCGGAATTACACATATTCTATCATCAGCAAGTCTGTGAGAATAATCAATAGGAAAATATGCCAATATGGTACCCAAAAGCCCAGCATGGCCAGGTGGTTAGGGCACTCGACTCGCAATCTGTGGGTCGCGGGTTCGAATCCCCGTCACACCAAACATGCTCGCCCTTTCAGCCGTGGGGGCGTTATAATGTGACGGTCAATCCCACTATCCGTTGGTAAAAGAGTAGCCCAAGAGTTGGCGGTGGGTGGTGATGACTAGCTGCCTTCCCTCTAGTCTTACACTGCTAAATTAGGGACGGCTAGCGCAGATAGCCCTCGTGTAGCTTTGCGCGAAATGTAAAACAAACAATGGTATCGAATACTGATTCCGGCTCTATCTGGCGACAGAAAATTTGACATCTCAAACTTACCTCTACAGTTTTTTTGTGATCAATGGTCATGGAATTATAACCCAAACATTATTTACAATATATACGTTTACTGAATCGGTAACAGCAACTGATTCTTAGTGCGTTCAATCATATAACAAGTATAGTAAGCGATATCTAAAGTTCAGTGTTATTTTGCCAGGATATTTGTTGAATGTCAATGAATATATCGTGATTACTTAACGACTAAATCCTGGTGAAAATGAAATAGGTGTGAGTACACAGGGTTTATCATTAATGCCTGCCTATCTGCCCTGGGTTGATAAATTTTGTTTTAGGGCAGTTACATATCAGGCATTAAGAGAAATTTTATTCATAACAATAAGACTTACACTTGCCATAATGTCCACACTAGAGACAAGTACTTTTTGAAGCCTTAATATCTCCAAACACTGGCTACGTGAGTAGCAAGAGCTTCGTGATAATAAGGCTATAGCAAATTCTGATCACTAAGATAACAAATTTCTGTAGGTCCTAAAAACTTTGTCCAATTTTGATACATAGAAAATGGTTCCATAAATAGTCATATTAACAAACTATGTTTACTAACTGTCTCCACACGATGACATTCATATGTTTACTGTAAAAAACAAGCATTTTCAAAACACTAGACAGTTATAATAATATTATTCATTTACATGGACACCTATTCTAACTTTGTATCTAAATTACAAACATAATAAGATAACACAAGATAGACAAGGCGATGAGATTTAGCTATGTCAATACTGTTTGAACCACAACCATCTGTTTAAACATGAACTTAATGCAACATAGCTATGGAACTGTTCTAATGCTACTTGATCTGAACTTACTCCATGGCCGCTGAATTTAGGGCTACAGTTAGCTGACTAAAACAGTTGTCAGAACTACATGTACAAAATACTTGGTGTGGCAGATTATGGCTCATACATTCACACCTGTCAGACTGGCAAAGCTGATCACTTTGGCATCCACATCTAACAAGTTTCTTGATGTCATCAGGGGCTATACAAACACCCTCTGGTACCATGGCAGGAACATTTAGACCTAACATCTTTTAGCCACCCAAACTCCAAAGGATCCAGTGAAGGTGGGTTAGCCTCAGTAGTATCTCTCAATAGAGCAACCTGGAGATGAGCCTGTTTGACATTCTATGTAAATGTTGTAAGCTGAATTAGACCCTTTCTAGTTCTGAGAGCCCAAGCTTTATCTGGAACACCAGAGATAGCTAAACAGTTCTTTATTCCATAAGTAGCATTAATAAATGCCGCTGCCTGAGCAACAACAACATCAAAGGGCAGTCCAATCACTCTAAGATTTACTGTTTTTACCTTTTCAAATCCATAGTAACTTACCACTGTATCACATCCAGATAACGAATGAGCTTCTAGAATATAGGTTTGTGTTCCAAGACTTTTGCTCTTATGCCAATTGCACTTCTTCCCTGGACAGGCAACTTCATAAGTATGCTCCCAGATAAACCTGTTCATTGTAATGGTGGACAAGAATAATAAGTACATGTGTATCATCTGATAATACTTTTATATGCTTCCCATCCTTGGACGCAAGTACAGCTTGTTGGACAATAATGCTATCATTTTTTCCCGTCATAACTAGTTTGTGGTTCCATGTCTATTGGGTGGTGAAATTATGATTTGTAACATGGTCTTCAAAAATTAAATCAATCAGCTGTTCTTTGTTATGTGTAACTGTTAATATCATTTTCTTGGAGGGCAGTTTTGTTTGCATAGTGTGTTGGTATATCCTGCTAGTTTCAGTAGCTCTTCCTGATCTTGTGGGGCCCTTGATGATGTACTCTTTATATCGATCAATTATTAAGTAGACATCATTCACTGCTAACTGTCATTTCACACAGGTTTTAAAATTATTTGCCAAGTCCAATACAATTCTCTCGGTATGACAGTGAACTGTCCATAAGGCAGCTGAGCCATCAATAACAATACAATTCACTCCTTGAGAGGCTTGTCGCGATAAGAGCTCAATCTGCATTTGTTTCTTTATAACAGCTTTTGTTGTTGTTCTCATATCCTCAGCCTCAGTAAACATGGATGTTGGCACTGCTGCTAGTTCATGAGAGAGAAGGTTTGTGATGTTAAAATCCCTAAAATTGCTTGAAATTCCAAGCACTCTTGAGTATATCAAAGTGGTGTCATAGAGAATAGTTTGCCCTACTTTGATATGCCTCCTTGATGCAGACATTAATAAATTCAATTCTCTATTGTGCTGTAGAATCCTTGCGACCATGAATTTTGAAATTCTTTTAAATGAACTGTGCTAATGGAGACTGCATCATCCACATTTACTGAAGCAGGGGCTACTTCACCAGTAATTATGTTGACAAAATTCAATAATTTTTTATCAAATGGATGAATTGAAATTTCCACTTTCTCTTGAATTGCATATCTATCTTCTGCATTAGCATGTATTCTTGATTTGCCTTCTTCTTTATGAGTATCCTTGCACTTTCTTGGTTTTTCTATCACATATTCTATGAACATCAGCTGTGAGTCTGTTCCGAATGTGCAAACTTAGAGCCCATGTCTTGAGTGCCTCCTTATTCATTTTAAATATTAAATCAGTTTGATAAGTAATCACAGGTGCCTTTCAATTACCCCTTTGCCCCTTATTAACACATTTTGAGGCCCATAATTATGCTATTTGTTTGTGCCAACCATCTCGAATTTCAGCTGCATATTCTGCAACAAACTCAATAGTTTTGAGTTGGCATCAACCGGAATCCTAAAGAGGAAGCTTTGAAGATTCAAAATCCATCAAAATTTATTACATAGACTCACATCCACCTTATGTCTTAAAATGGCATTTCGCAAACAGACTATTATATCCACTTTACTTTAGTAGTTGTGTTTTATTACCCGTGTTATTCATCTATAATTTGATTCCAAAGCCTACAAACCAATAAAAATAACATTTTGCAAAGTTTCTCTGATTAATCGCACTTTACAATACCAATGTTTCAGGTCTCATGCTACTCTTAGAACTCCCTCACTATGACCGCGATTATGCATTATTTACGGACACAACCATTTATTTTGTAACAAGCTTTAAAAAAATAATAAAGCCAAACTTAGTCCGTGCATCTTGTTTGGCCTTGCACTTTACATAAACATGTGTTTCTAAGACCATTAAAAAAAGTACAAAATTCCATTAAATCTGCATCGAAAAACATGACAGGTATATGATAACTTCCGATCAGACTAAGCTATGTACCCAGAGCGAAACTAAAAATCAACTTAGCCATCACTATAGCTTTTGTGTGTTCATTGTTCCTTTCGTTAATGAAATTGATTATATTTACTTTACTTTTATTTCGTTTTAACTTATCGTTTACTATCATACTTTAAGATATAAGATTGAATTTGCTTTCTTGGCTTAGGTTTGGTATTCAGGACTAACCTAAATCTCTTAAGCTGGCCAAACTTTGAGATATTATTGGGTTTATGATCGAAAATGGCGCGGCATGGCCAGGTGGTTAGGGCTCTCGATTCGCAATCTGTGGGACGTGGGTTCGAATCCCCGTCCCAACAAACATGCTCGCCCTTTCAACCTGGGGGCGTTATAATGTGACGGTCAATCCCACTATTCGTTAGTAAAAGAGTAGCCCAATAATTGGCGGTGGGTGGTGATGACTAGCTGCCTTCCCTCTATTCTATCACTGCTAAATTAGGGACGGCTAGCGCAGATAGTCCTCTTATAGTTTTGCGCGAAATTCGAAACAGACCAAACCAAACAACAGAAAATATCATTAGCAGCGAGGGTACCCAAGTGATGAAACAAAACGTTCTAATCTTTATACATAGGTATGTAAGAATAGTATAGTTACTTTTTGTCTACCTCATCTAGATAGCCAAACGTTAGCATCTGTATATTTGGTTCACGGTAAATTACTAACTTTAATACAGTGCAATGCTGCTAGGGAAAATATTATGGCTCTTGTGGAGAGAAAGGTTGAGACATAGACCTTCCCAAGGAAAGATATTCATACAGTTAGATTATTCAACGATTAGGACACAACATTTTGAAGAAAATAACTTCAGTATTCTCCGCAGAAGAGGTCAAACTCGTGTAACAGAACGTTTAATATAGCAAACCAAGCTAATTTATAGTAATGCTCTATGTTTAGGAAACAAAACCGTCCAAATAAAACAATAGATTGCTATGAAGCTGTACATATCGCGTGTTACAATTAACAAGATAGTATATGAGGATTTAAAGTTAATGAAAGCTTACAAGTTTCCATCCACACCTCAAAATCATGGCTGTTTTCACACAAACACACATAAAAAAGTGACAGAAGAAACCAGAATCACAGCAACTCGTTCTGTAACATATGTAATAGTCGTCACCGATGTTATATAAAGGGGCGTTGTGCTGAATCTTTTAGGTTTGTTTGTTTGTAATTAAGCACAAAGTTACACAATGGGCTATCTGTGCTCTGCCCACCACGGGTATCGAAACCCGGATTCTAGCGTTGTAAGTCCGCAGACATACCGCTGTGCCACTTGGGGGCGAATCTTTTAGGAAAAGTGTCGTGTAAGAGAGAGAGAGAGAGCAGGTTTTCCAGAAAATAAACATAAACGAATATAGTTTGGGAAAGACACTGTTGGTTTTATTAATTTTCCATGTTATGATGTAGTGTTAAAAATTTCCATTTCTCCTCAATTTTTCAGAAGTGATCTGTACCTGCATTTTATAAATCGTAAAGACAATTCTATAATGGACGTTGACACAGTTTTATCGTAAGTAGATTTGAAAGTGACCGAATCTGATTATCACCTTTGTCCTAAATACGATATACGTTATTTTTGTTTCTTCTGAATACTAACAGATAGTTTTAAAATAATTTCAAATAACTTAAACCGAAATACGGGACTATGATGAATTTTATTAACGTGTTCGTACATAAATAAAATGAACACCATTCGTCATATAATAATATTTCTTGGTGAATATATCAATGAGACCACGAAGAACACGAATTTGTGGTCACTGGAGTTAGTCATCAGAGAGAGATAATTGGTTAATGCGGTTGCTGCATCCTTGGAATTAGGTAATAGACAGCTGAACGAAGCTGTCTGATATTCAATATGTCATCTATTAGATTAGTTAGTGTAAGAGGCGCTTTACGATATACACCGACTTTAGGTATTCCCATAGCTAAACATCAAGTGGGTCATCAGACAGTATAACACCATGTTGAATATTTGACAGCTACGTTCAGCTGCTTGTCACATCATTACGAGATTGCAGACCATCGTTAACATTGGGGCCACATTACACGCCATCTGGTGTCCATTCCTAGTGAGCACAGATTCATTTTTCTAGTGGGTATATCCATCAATATTTTCTAATTTAGGAAAACTAGTGTTCAGTATATTGATGTATGAATCCAAGAAATATTATAAGAACTTTCTATATAACCTCTATTGAACCTTTGCTTGCAAAAACCTTTTCTCCGGTTATAACTCTATTTAACAGAGTCTTCAAGAACCAGCCCAAGGTTTTAGAATCCACGTGGATTAACACAGAATAATTGAGAAACAAACACTAGAACTTAAACTTTAAAGTTGGTACTCTATGTACTTATACAATGATTAAAATTATGTTTTTAATTCAGTACTTATATTATGCATTAATTAATAATTAAGTCTTTAATTCAGTACTAATGTTATTAATTAAATCTAAGGAGGTAGTAGAATTACGTTGAAGTTATATAAAAAAAATCCACTTTTGATTACAAATGAGTAGGAAATTGTACAAAAGTTGGAGTACCTTCCTCCATTGTCTTAGAGATAAACCCGAGGGTTTATAATTAAAATTCAGGGTTCAATTTCCGCGGTGTAGCTTTGTGCTTAACAACAAGCAAGAGCTAGAATTCACATTTCGTACAGAAACGTGTTTTTTTTCTTCTATAGTCTCATCGACAAAAATAACGACTACCTCGATGAGCTGTTCAAGGAGTTCAATGTCTTGTATAGTGAGGTAAGTTAAAGTTATACAGCTTTCCAAACAGTTCACAGACATTTATTCATCCAGCTTCATAACATAGTGCACTAATAATTATTGGTTTTATATCTCGACGTTATATTTAAGACACATTTATTTGATTCTTATTTTTGAACTCGGTATAGTAGATATATCGAAGAAATTCTTGAAAATAAATCGGTGCCTGCATTTTATGCCTTTTTTAAATGTTGTATGGAGGGTTGGTTACATTATGCTTAAATGATTTTGGAGTCTCACTCCATTGGTGTAGTCTCTGTCGTCACGTCCGATCGCGCTTTATCTGACGAACGTACATCTTGAAAATAGTCATGCAGTTTTCAATGCAAAAGACTTCGTCGTAAGGCTGTCATGTCCAAAGCACACTACTGCTTCCTGCATATTTTCTATAGTCCATCCGGTGTAGAAGGATTGCGGTTTCTCAGTGCCAGTTTCAATGGTTCTAGTGTACAGAAATCCATAGGTGCTGAGTATGTCTTCATATGGAATAGCATAAAAACTTGTTTCATTATCCACCTACTTGTGGTATACGACGGTTGAACGGGAAGTATGATTGGAAGTTTTATCTTGGTGAACCCATACCCTAGTTGCCTATTTCCAGACGGAGATCCTTCTTGTTTATGTTGAGTACTGTGAACGGCTTTTGCCACTGAAACTTTCTGGTCGTTGATTTTCACATGTTACAAGACACCACGGCATAAGAAAGAGAACCTCAGATTTAATAAAAATAGTTGCGATAAAACTATTATTGTTTACAAGATATGAGACAACGATCTGATGATAAAAAATGCTCCCAAGTCAAAAGTTCACAACCTTCCAGTCACACGTCGAAATTAAAGTCTGGCTTTATGGGAACTATGGCTGGAGAAACTGGAAATCCATTCGACCAGAAACCTACCAAGTCTCCCGATATATCTTCAATAGGTTTTTGTGCCTTTAGTTTGCTTAAATGTGGTCTTGGAATCCAACAGTCACGTACAACGAAATGATATTACAAGAAAATTTATCAAATTGTGTGGTTGTCATCCACTGCAGAACACAAAAGTTTGTTACAATAATAATAATAAAATGTGTTGTCGGACAATAGTTACTAATCATAACAAGCAAAATATGCGTGATCGATGATAGAGGAAGTATTTTCAAGTGCAACACCGGGCTTGGAACTGGGTTCTTTATAAATGGCCTACAATACTCAGTATAAAAATACACTTCGATTTCATCGTTCTCCAAAGCTTAATGTGCGCCTTTATATATATATATATATATATAAAAGCTTTTTATTAACGAAATGTGCACCAAATCCCCTAAGAGCTCTATAGTTTATCATTTGTCAGGGTTTACATTGTTCCGTTAATTACATTTTGGATGTATTTTTCTGTCATAGGCTGCTAAAAGTACATCCTTATTAGACGGTGCCGATGACCAGATGAAGGTGTGGTTGATTGGATTAGCAGTTTTTCTAGTGATCATGTTGGTACTAGTTCTTTCTCTATGTGTGACACAACGAAGCAGGTGAGACAATAGGAGGGTTTGATTTTTAAACTAAGTAGTATAGTTTATGATATATTATAGCAACTAACTCAGTCTGATATTATGATATTTTAACCAAGTACTGCCGATTATGGTACAACGTAGCAGCTGTGTCAAACCGAGAGTCTCGTTTCTTAATCAAGTAGCACCTAAAATGACACAATGTAGCAGGTGGGTGTGTTTGAGAGTTTCATTTCCTAACCAAGTAGTCTTGAGTATAACACATTGTAGCAGGTGAAACATTATATTATCTTAATATTTTTACAACGATGAAAGCAGTTATTCTTAATTTTCATATAGATGTCTACTTTCTGGTCTGAGCATGTTAAACCTTGTTTTAAGTATATGTTGTTTCTTCTCAAGAGTCTAATCACAATATCTTCAGTGATGGTAATATTTTTTTCAATTAGATACGAAAGACAGTTGAAAGCAGCTACAGCAACAGCTTTTGGTGAGTTTTGTAATTGTCTTGTTCTCACTAAACTTTACCTAATGCTTACCGGGTTTACTAAGTAATGCATAACATTTTAGATGTTCATTCAAAAAAGAAGTTTCGGTGAACTTTTTGCTCATTATTTGTGTATTTATTTCCAAAAGAAAGAATATATAAACATTTATAGTGATCCCGTTGGTACTAGTTGTTTTTCTATGTGTGACACAACGAAGCAGGTGAGACAATAGGAGCATTAACCACACTTTACAGGAACGATTTGTAAGTGCCACTATTTAGTGGCGTGTCACCACAAATTAGAGGCGAGGCAACAGTGGAAAAACGTTAGCATCTGTATATTGTCATCGAATTAGCCCACCTTTGGCAATGCCTTTTTGCTGCAGAAAAATAGTTTTTATTCGTGAACTAAAACCTCTCTTCAAAAATTTATTTGTGGGATAAGACATATTTTTGATTCCACAAAATTATCGAGTTAAAAGGTCGTAGTCATATTTATAGGTCATGAAATGTTTGTTGTTTATTCATTAGCAAATTAATAATAAAAATCCATAGTTCTACCATTTGACAATCAATAATGTAATTTTTATTTGAGACAAATTTTTATAGTTAATGGAAAGTTTCTTTAAAAGAGAATGTAAGTTTTCGATAAATAATAATAATAAAATATGGAAGTGGCATTATCAGTATAGTGGTTGTGGTGAAATTTAGAACTTTCAAAATAGTCTTGTAACACCAAATAATAAATCTTTCACACATAAATGTATAGTTTAACCACACTTTACAGGAACGATTTGTAAGTGCCACTATTTAGTGGCGTGTCACCACAAATTAGAGGCGAGGCAACAGTGGAGTAAGCGAAATATTTGATAAACTAAAACGAAAACTGTCCTTTTTTTAACCTTTATTTCCGAGATTGAGCCAATGAAAAACGTAAAAAATATAAGTTTTTATGTTAAGGTTTTTAATTATTTTATAAGCGATTTTAACATATATTGTGAATACATGTATAATGACCGTGACTGTTCATAGATATTTATAATTTGAAATATCCTCTGAGTGTCCTTAAACCAGTTTTGTGTCATAAATACCGTAGGCAGCGCGGTATCAGATTTTTGCCTCTTACTCCACTACTAGTAGTGGAACCCGCCAATCTTTAATTTTTATGAAATTTTATGTTCGTATCAAAAACATGATAATCACCAGTCATAAACTTGTTCACACTTCTTTTATGTATGCACGTATTCACAGATATGAAAGAAGCAAAAATATAATATTATGTCCCTTACTGTTGTTTACTAATTATTTAAAAATTGTAGCAATTTTTGGTATATGTAATTATATTAATGCTAAAAAATATGATACTAAACTCAAATGATTCAGTATTTAGTAATGAATAAGATAACTATTTATGAGTGACGTCTCTGCAATGAGTACTTAGTTAAAATGATAATTATTTTATTCCTAATAACTTAGGTTCACAACTTACTTCTTCTTATCCACAGAACCGTTGTGATTTTCATGAAATTTGTATTCATCCACATTTACAATAGCACCCGTGATATTTGCCAAGACTCTGAAATATTGTAACACATTTTAATATGTGCTTTATATATATATATATATATATA